GGAAAGAAGACATGCAGAAAAATGTCCTGGCTGCTGTGAAACTGCGACACCACCTTTAGTAGGTAGGCCGGTTGGGGATGTAGCTGAACTTTCTCTTTGAAGGACACCGTATAAGGGGGTTCTGAAGTCAAGGCTCTGATCTTGAAGATGCTGCTGGCCAAGGAAACCACCACAAGGAAGGCAACCTTCCATGAGAGGAACAGTAGAGAACAAGATGCCAACAGCTCAAAGGCGGACTCCCGGGAGCCTTGACAGCACCAGGTTTAAGTCCCATGGGGGAATCTTGCAAACCTGCAGGTAGAGCCTCTCTAAACCTTTCAGGAACCAGATCGTCATCTTGTGGGAGAAGACTGATCTACTGTAGACCAGAGAATGGAAGGCCGAGATGGCTGCCAAATGAACCTTGATCAATGACAGAACTAGCCCTTGATGCTTCAGGTGAAGCAGATAGCCCAAGATGGACTGCAGGGATGATCAAGATGGAGAGAGATTCCATTATGAGGCCCAACAAGTGAAATGCTTCCATTTTGCCAAGTAGGTTGCCTGGGAAGAGTTTCCTGCTGCTTAGCAAGATCTGCTGGACCTGCTCCAAGCAGACTTGCTCTTCTGCGTTCAGCCACACAGCAGCCACGTCATCAGGTGTAGGGAGGAGAGGTTCAGGTGGAGCAATCGGCCTTGGTTCTGCAAGGTCAAGTCCGGGGGTGGTGGGAGCCCCAGTGAAGCTGCTACCGAGAGGTCCAGAAGCATCCCGAATCAACGCTGATGAGGCAATACCAGGGCTATCAGGGTAACCTTTACCTTGTCCATCTTGATCTTTAAGAGAACCTTGTGAACCAGGAGTATCGGTGGAAAAACGTACACAGTAGTCCCCCCACTGCCCAGGAGAGCAGGAAGGTATCCGAGAAGGAGCCCTTGCTGAGCCCATGTGCCAAGCAGAACTGATGGTATTTTCTGTTCTGTCTGGTGGTGAACAGGTCCAACTGGGGAGTCCCCCACTTGTGGCAGATGGTGCTGACCACCTGTGTATGAAGGAACCACTCGTGGCGAGAGGAGAAGGACCTGCTGAGGGGATCCGCTAGCACATTCTGATCTCCCGGGAGATGCACCACCTTGAAGTGGACTGCGTGATCCTCACAAAAGTCCTACAACCAGAGGGCCTTCTAACACAGGGCTGAAGAGTGAGCTACCCCTTGTTTTTTGGTGTAAAACATGGAGGCCGGGTTGTTCATTAAGACCTGCACTACTCTGCCTGACAGATGGGGAAGGAACACCTGGTAGGCTAAGTATATGACTCAGTTCCCTGATGGGGAGGGATAGCTCAGTGGTTTGAGCATTGGCCTGCTAAACTCAGGGTTGTGAGTTTAATCCTTGAGGGGGCCATTTAGGGATCTGGGGCAAAAATCTGTCTAGGGATTGGTCCTGCTTTGAGCAGGTGGTTGGACTAGATGACCTTCCAACACTGATATTCTATGATGTTTATATGTAAGGAAAGTTCTTCCTGGGAACAGAGGCCCTGGGTTCTGAGACTGCTGAGGTGGGCTCCCCATCCCAGGTCTGAAGCATCCAAAACTAAGGTCACTGAAGGATATGGGGCAGCAAAGGGCACCCTGTTCGTCACCGACCATGGGTCCACCCACAAAGTCAAAGACACTAAGACAGCCAACGGAACTGGGAGAATCATGTCCAAATGGTGCCTGCCTGGAAAATACACTGAGGCCAGCCACATCTGTAGGGGTCTGAGATACAGCCACGCATACTGCACCAAGTACGTACACACTGCTATGTGACCCAGCAACCTGAGCCACATCCCAGTGACCATGAGTGGGTGGGCCCTGACGAGGGGACTAGGTTCGACATAGATTGGAACCGGGCCTCCAGTAGGCTCTTGTTGGAGTGAAGTCGAGCATTGGCCCTATATATTCTATTCTCTGAACAGGGGCTAGCGTTGACTGTTTCTCGTTTATTAATAGGCCCAACTCTTGACAGGTAGCCTACACGAAGTCAGCGTTGCACTGGACTTAAGTTTGTGAACGGCCCTTGATCAGCCAATTGTCGAGGTACGGAAAGATTTGGACGCCTGAAGCCCCTGAAGATCTTGCACTTGTCTTTGATGTGAGCTTCCCTGAGGGACTTCAGACAAGCTGAATGCATGTTGCTCATAGGCATGGCTTTGCCGCAGGTAGAGCATGGCTTGAAATGTGCAGACCGGGACATGCCCAGTCCCTGGAACAAAGTCCCTCAAGACTGGGACAACTATCTATACTTTAACGTTTACTGTTTTAACTAAGCTAACTAGAGAGAACTATATATAACAAACAAGTCCATACCACCAGGGTAAGAAAACCATATGAGAGCAAAAAGCCGTTCCAGCAACTGTCATGGATGGTAAGAAAGAACTGAGAGGGCACGAGGCCAGTGGCACCCCTTATACCAGCGCATAAGCGCGGGGCTCCCAGGGGCGCTAGGGCCGGACCTACGGAGACCATTAAGGGAAAAATCTCCAGCAACTGCACACCTACCATGGAATCAACATGAGCAAGCACTCGAAGAAGAACCTCTTCTGCAAGCGTGAAGAGAGTATGTTCTTCATTTCAGTTTATTCAACTAGTTCAGTTTGATGACTAGTTCATTCAAAATTAAGAAACCCACTGGGAGTTGAAGAAAATGCAGGAAAGCTTGTTTTCCTCTTCCAATCTATGAATAAAAACTAGGTGTTGGTGAGATCTATGGGTTCTAAAATCTTGAAGGATATGATGACCAGAAACAATCAGTTCATTAACTAGAGATAATACTGCCTTTGATTAATAAGTCAGTTTTAAATGCAAATCATGTTTGATCAACTTTGAAACTTTTTATGAATCTTTATTTAATAAAAGTATTACAGTGCTGTTTTTGTGCATTTTTAATTGAATTTGAATTCCAACAGGCACTTAATATAAATCACAAGAAAAAAGTTAATCTAGTAAATAAATGCATGGTTCGCCATTTTGTAACAAGAAAAATGCAAAAATTAAGAATTTGAATAAAAGTAAGGTAAGCTATTTAAATTGCTTAACTAAAGGTGTATAGATAAAGTGTCCTCCTGGTTGGCAAAAAAGCACCACATTTAGTGTAAAGGCTATATTTAGTTGCAAACATGTTTTAATAATTACCAAATAATGAAAAATCAACCTCTCTTTAGGAAAATACGTACAAACACAAAACATGATTAAAATCGATTATTTAAATCAAGATCTCCTGCTTGCTGATTTAACTCATGATTTAAAACAAACCACCCTGACCAAAAGTGCCCACTGTGAAAGCAGTTTGGTAATGTTTTAGAAAGATAAATGTAGCCTAAATGTATTATTTTTGCAGTACTGAATTGCTCACACTAAGGATTCAAAAATCCTCCTATGCTCACTGAAAGCTCTTTCCAGAAGATTTGGGCTTTAGAGGCAGCCTAATTTAAGTAGCAATAAAATATTTTTTCTTTTTTAAAACAAGGAGTTATTTGCCTAAAAGGAAATAGAAAACAGCATAAGGATGTGCTACCATCTCAGAGATAGATGTGTGAGAGAAAGCCAGTAGAAAATATAGGAGCTAAAATACTTAGCAATGGCAAGGAAGGGAGATCCAGCCTGCAGTCATCTTAGGTAAAATGATCTTCTAAAGGCTACAGCTAATTTTATTCTGGGAGAGACAAAGAACCAGGTAGCAGGAAAGCATGCTGGGGGAAGCTTCTGCATAATGACTAACCAGGCAAATCAGAAAATAAATAGCTCTTAGGAAAAGGACCGATTATTTTTATTTTATTTTTTTGAAGGCCAAGAATTTGGATCAAGCCACCTGAAACATCCAAAACTGAAGAGGAATGTGCTATGTACCTGAGCGTTCTCCATCTCTCTCAGAATATCCTGTTGATATTATAAAAAGCCCAGATCCTTTTGGACTTCTATCACTTCCATTGCTTCTATTACTTCCTTTACCACCAGATCATTACAAACAGAAATTCTAGTGGAACTTGCAGTGTGATACAAAACTCTCCAATGACATTTCCACCCCACCCATTATTCTGCTTTCATACAAATTTACTTATAATGAAAGGTACACTATTGACACCTCTGAAGACCCAAGTCCTTTTGTCCACAGATGAGGTATAGCACTCAAAGCTTCCCTGCATTATCTTACTAAATTCCCTCCACTTTGTTCTGGAACAACCATCTATGCTTATGGGGGGCAACTCAGTTTCCATGGCCTTTCAGTCTTTACCTTCTGAATTAATGCTACCATAAAAGGTGACAATTATAACGTACACACTTGTCTACTGACTGAACCAGTCTGTCTCAAGAAAGATACTCTGTTGACATGTAAAAATTGGAAAACTAGTGAAAGATAGTGGCATCCTTTAGTCAATATCAAATTGAGCCACTTTTGAACTAGTAAGCAAGAGGTAAAAAGGTGCCATAGACCACTGCTAGCAGACCACATTCCCTAGGTTAGTAAAGACATTTTTGTAATATAATTTAATGTAGTTCATAAAGGCTGGTGGTGAAAACCTTTCACCAATCACCTCAAACCTCAAAATCAGTTTTATTTTCTTGTATAAAGCTATGAATACTTCAACTACCTTGATGTCTTGTCTTGATAGAAATTTAATGAAGAGCTTTTGCCCCTCCTCCCAAACTAGTGAGTTGACAGGTAAATACCTGGCTCTAACAGTATTATATGTAATTACTTCAATTTAAAAAAAAAAAAAAAAAAAAAACAGCCTCAGGGTAACTAGCTCATTATGCCCTACAGGGTGAGCGAACAGTGAACAAGTTTTTCAAATTAGTATCTATTATATAGGACACCAAGTATAACGTATAGTAAATTATATCAAAAATACAACTTAAGTACTATTGACACCACACTTTCTCTGTCAGTATTGCCCCAATATGCAAAAGTATTTGTAAAATAATACTTAAACATGCATGTTTTAAAGTCTTTTAAAAATGTATGTGTGTTAAATCAAATACCTAACTCCTGAGATACAGGCTTTTCTTTAAGAACTGCCTGTAATACTGGATCTTCCCATGGCCCTCCATCTCTGATAATTCGAGTCACTAATTCCAGGTTGACATTTCCGTATCGGCTTAGGAGGTTCTGGCATTCCTAGGAGTAAAAAAGTGGATTAGATTTAAAACTGTCAAGAGGTCTGACAGACCTGTTTTAGTCATTTAATGGCTAAAAAGTCTAACTTCATAAGAAGGGTTTAAAAGTTATCGTACAAGTTAAATACATATTATAAAATGTTGTAAACAAGTTTCAAGAAATATTTATTTTGAGTTAAAACTATGAAATCACATACATGTTGACTGAAGCTATATATTAAGCCTTTAAAAAGGTACCCATCTAGCTTTTCTATAATCTAAAGGTTATACGCAAACCTTGGTAAACATCCTAACAATGCCGTCAACTAAGCCTGACAAGTTTGTGCCATTTCCCAAACTTTTGGGGAGCTGTCTTCTAGTCTCCAATTAAGAGATATTTAAGTAGAAAAAATACTAGGGCAGCTCTTCAGCTTGCATAAATCAGCACTGATTTACAACAGGTGAGGTTTGGTCCAGTCATGCAGTCTATACTCTGCTAAGTTAATTTTAATGGCAGAAGTGAATAAATGCAGTACAAAAAAGAAGTTACCCTGGAATTATGTGGTGATTATGGAATGTCCTAAAGCAGATATGTTTTTTAAACCCTGTAAGTCTTATATCAAGCCAAATGTTTACTTGTAGTAATCTGATAGCAGCAGCCACAATTTTCATGCTGCCCAAGTTATTCTTTCTTTGTAATTTACTGGTATAAAGTAGCCTTTGCCACCAGCATCAATTAATAGCTTAACACAACACCTGGTATCAGTCATCCGCAAAAAGAAACAAGATACTAAATGGAAAGTAAGATGGTATCTGAAATTCTTTTCAGATCATTCTATTCAAGACAATTTATCTATCATTAGATTTTATTGCACACTGAAGTGTCTTTGGGACAATCCATATTTCATGCAAGCTAGAGAACAGCTTCCAGGCATTTACAATTCACTGCTTTAACATTCATTTCTGCTGTAGGTTATTTTAGCTACTATGTTCTTCAATTCATTCCTAAGTTTGTCTATTATGTCTGAGTGAGTTGTGTTTGACTGTCAAGGAACTGAAACGGATTTATTTTCATCAAGACAATTTGTATGTAGGTGTTCGGTTGAAAAGCAAATCTTACAAGTTTCCTCATTAAAAAGACCACTTTGACCATTAATGCACTATTGATTTAAAAGAAAACAAAACTAATGTGTGTCAAAATGCAAAATGACAAATGAGAGGCAAATGGTTTAAGTAAATAAAAAATAAAAAAGGACAAACCAAAAAAGCTAAAATAAAAACAAAGAATTTAAGGGTAAAGAAAAAATATGGGCCTTTTTATCAGTTTCCTCTTACATCCCCTGTCTATGTTATAAATTCTTTATGGCAAGGATCTGTCTCAACTTGAATCTGATGTAGCAACCATTCCTTTGGGTACCCTAAATATTAACAAAAAACAGTCCCACAAAACTTAAGCAAAACCATGACATGCTTCATTCTGTGTGTCTAAATCAGCTCCCTTCCCCCACCCAATTCTGCAGCATGTGCCTAGGTAACTCATGTCAGATGGTTAATGAGAACATTACTGTACAATTATAAAGCAGTTACTAGATGTTAGCATCCTCTAATGCCCAACACATAAGGCAAGTAAGTGTGAACAAAGCCTAGTCCTAAACAATAAAATAAGATAACAGTTTTGCTTTTTCAGTCCACTGTCTAAAATTGTGGAGGAGGAAACTGTAGATTTAAATCATAACCTGGAACACTTGATTACTTGAATGACACTAAACTCTGGTCAGATACTTAAAGGAAAGCTGTCAGAAATTAATTTGGTGATGGGATCTTTATTTGAATTTTTTTTCTGTCTCTTAAAGCAAATTCACAAAATAGAACCTTATTAATAATCTGTTCATCATTACAAAACAAGGATTGTGCTCCAGTGTATTTAGGCTTTTGATATCAACAGTAGTAGCAATGGCAAGTGTACTAAAAGATTTTTCCTCTGATAAAATTACAAAGACGGGAAGTGTAAATAAAATGGCTCACTATCTTTCTTCACGCTACTGAAGTGTTCTACCAATGCTTGTATCCTCCAAACACTCATGAAAGCATGACTTTCTACAAACAGGATGATCTTCAAAAACCAAAAATTGTGTTTTACAAAAACAGACATAGAAGCAAGCAACAACTGGTATTACCTGGATTGAACCTAGAATATCTTTTAAAGGATCTTCATAGAATTCATCTTTTCCAAAGAACAGCAGCAATTCAAAAAAACTCCTACAAACACAAGTAAATAAGTCAAAACCAAACCAAACAAAAGCAAATCATTTCAGCTGTCTTCACAGCTAAGGATCCTGAAATTATTTGGTACTTAGGCAGTCAAACTACAAAAACTCTATTACAAATTGTATTACATATCACAGCAGTTAAAATATAGAGTAGTGTTTTCCAAAGCACTTACCATTTGTTTGACTCTGACCCAATTTATACTAATAGTAAGAGTTACTCAAAAAATGCTCAATGTTGAAAATCCCACCCACAATGTATGGAAGCTATCCTCAGTTCTGCACCAGTTAACTCAATATTTTTGTCTGTAAATGAGAAACTCAGGTCTGGCCCACCCCTAAAAACCTCAAACTACTGTGTAACTCCTCGGATGGTAAAAATCACAGACATCATGTAAATGAAACCAAATTAAATAGAGATTTTTACTTCAAGAGTTAACTTAAACAGCTGCTGAAAGCAAGAACATAGATTGAAGACTTGATACTACTTCAACTTTTGGATCTGAAAACTCCCAATATGATTATGATCTCAGTCCCCTCATTTTGCTAGAGAACACAGGAATGGACCTATCTGATATTTCTCAACACAAACAGAAAAAACCCTTTGGGTTCAGAAAATCCTTTTGACTTCCTTTATATATCAACATGATGCTATAAATTAAAACAGAACTGTGCACATCACCTTTAACTTGGTTTCTGCTCACTCTAGGCATGTGACATGGAGATGGAAATTGAACAGAATGAGGTGAAATTGTCTCCCTTCCAGATGCATAATGTACCATTGTAACAAAAACATGGCAATACAATTGCATAATTTATATTTGAAACTCAAAGCCACACCACTCAGGAAAAGATTCACAAATTTCTTATTTTCAGATTTTTGAATCTCATTAACAGCAGCTGCTAGATGGGATTAATTTTAATTGCACTGCACAAAGATTTAGCCCTGAGTTATCACTAGTCACTGCTAAGTCGCCATGCAATGCTCTGAAGTTGTATTTCTACAAGCCTGAGTATTCAACTGTAAGAAAATTTAGCAATTTGAATTTTCACAAAATGATAGAATAATACTTCCATGACGCATAATTCAAATCCTTGTGAAACATACAAGTCTTGTAGGTTAGCCTAATACTTTGCACAGGACTTTGGGTGATAGAGACTTAACCCCTAACATGTTACTTTCTATTAAATGTCAAAGTCACAAGTAATTTACCTTCTCACCCACAAGTTTTCCGTTCCTTATTTTGTCTTCTCACTACATACTTATTGTCAAGGCCATGTGTGATTGAAACTGTTGTACCAGAAAAATGACTAAACAGTTGATAATTTGTTTTGTATTGTCTATGGAAAACTTTAAGGTGGTTTTCAAGAATGATGAAGTGTTGTGTTCACAACCCAATGAGACTTAATTTAGCTTCTGTGTGACAAAACAAACTGGCATACAAAATTGGTATGTCTTAATTCTGACTTATTTTCACTGCTCCTCCCCTATATTTGTATAGTTTCTACGGCTTGCCCCTCACTCTATCCCTTTCACACAAAAGATTTGATTTAAAATTTCTTTTATTACTCTGAGTTTTTCTTGCAAAGATACTGTGCTCTACTCACAGCTCAATCCTTGACAAATCCTGCAGCAAGTCACTAGCTAGAAGTATCCCACTTGCCACTATGTGAGCAGAGAAGGAGAGCAGTGAAGTATCCAGTGGCAAAGCTCCCACACTCTGCAAGATGCAGACTAACTTCCCTCCTGAGACAGAACTGCTGGAGTACTGCTAAGCACTGCTCTGCCACTCTACTCTATCGATTTTAGCTTACCACACTACTTGAGCGGATTTCTGTAGGGGTCCACTATATCTAGTTCTAAAGAAGAGTCACTAAATTTTTTTTTTTCCAGTACCTTAAAGATAAAAATAAAAGTACAGAAATTTACCATCTTAACTGCTAATAGTATTCTGCTATTTGATAAGGCAACAACAGGACTAAAAATCACCCTCAGTGTTAGAAATCTTGAAAAAACTAACAGAATGGTTCAAAGAAATATCAAAGGTGGTTATGAAAAATTAATGCACCAATGAAGTACCCAGCAAAATAGACAGAGGACAAACATATTTGGTTTACCATTTATTCAATGCTCCAACAAAGTACATTCACCGCAAAAAAAGAGCACAATTGTTCAATTTTTGGGAGAATATTAACATTTGATAGACATGCCTGGTCTGTTACATGTGTAATCAGAAATTTCACTCAATTTAATATACTCATTAGAAACACATTATGGGCATTGTAATGATTCTCACACTATAACATGTTAAAACCTGTTAAACAGAGAGATCCGATGACTATATTACCGTACGGTGTCTTTCAAAACAAAAGCTTACTATTGTAATGATTATTTTGTTTGATATTTACATGGCAAGGATTTGTAAACTTGTTAAAACTTCCTGAACAAACAGTAAAAGAAAAAAATAAAGGCTTCCAAAATCAGGTTACTAGTATGAGTAACTTAGTAGCAAAAGGGCTGAGGACCCGAGTCATCAATTTTTGCTGATTTTAAGATTTCATTTAAAGAAAGTTAAATTTCTAGCCGTTGGGGTTACAAAAGTAACTTTGCAAATGCAGTACACTATTGCTATAATGAACCCACTGAGATCCATGCCATTTGTTCATTATAGCCAGGGGTGGTACAGCTGACAGCTCCTCCAGCACTGCCACAGCCATGGGACTGGAGGTGGGATCCAGGGACCAGGTTTATTATAGCTGAAGGTTCGTTATTAGGAAGGATGTTATAGAAAGCAGGGCCGGCTTTAGGAATTGCGGGGCCCGATTCGAATAGTTTCGACGGGGCCCCGGCAGGGATCACTCACCCGGCGGCGCTCTGGGTCTTCTGCAGCACTGAAGGACCTGCCGCCGAAATGCCGCTGAAGACCCCGAGCGAGTGAAGGACTCGTCGCCAAAGACCCGGAGCGCCACCAGGTGAGTAAAAATTAAAAAGGCGCCTAAGTTAGGTGCTCATTTTTAGGGTGCAGGGCCCTCTTAGGTGCAGGCCCCGATTCGGGGGAATAAATAATTCAGAAAAAGCTCCTTTTCCGTTAGAGAAGCTAGTGAGAATGGAGCTTGAAGTTTATCAGACTGATACCAGCCATGGGCTGTCATGAAATATTAAGGCCCAAACAGGGCTTCTGTGCAAGTCCTAGCATCCTCTGCAGCTGCTGGAGGTAACAGGGGACTGATCTTAGAACTTACTGGTGGAGACAACTTATCCCTGTCTTTAACACTTTCTCTGCCTGTAACATTTATTCCTCCATCTGTAGGTATCAGATAAACTTTAAGTAGTGAAAGAGTTTCAGAAATTATTATAAAACAGCTTAAAAGTTTTGGTCAACTTAACAGTTCACAAGGTACCTAGAAAATAACCAATTAAAATTCACTTTCTATATTCAGTACTTTTGAAATTCAGTTTCCAAAGATCTCCTAAAGTAAAAGCAAATTGTTTTACTCAAGCTTCAACACTAAACTGATCGAAAGGAATTAAGGTATGTACAAATGCCAAGAAGATCTAAGGTGAACAGTAAAAGCATATCTACACTACAGGCGGCAGAGCTGCACTGCTGTAGTGTAGACACTTCCCACATTAACGGATGTGGTCTTTCCATCAATGTAGGTAATCTACCTCACCAAGCGGCAACAGCTAGGTTGATGAAATAATTCTTCAGGAGAATTAAGTCATTTCTACGCTGGAGGTTAGGTCAGCTGAGGAGGTTGTGAAGGCTAGGACTATAACAGCGTTTAAAAGAGAACTGGATAAATTCATGGAGGTTAAGTCCATTAATGGCTATTAGCCAAGATGGGTAAGGAATGGTGTCCCTAGCCTCTGTTTGTCAGAGGGTGGAGATGGATGGCAGGAGAGAGATCACTTGATTATTACCTGTTAGGTCCACTCCCTCTGGGGCACCTGGCATTGGCCACTGTCGGCAGACAGGATACTGCCTTGGATGGACCTTTGGTCTGACCCAGTATGGCCAGTCTTGTGTTCTTAGCTTAACTTCAGTGCTCGGGATATGAATTTTTCACACCCTTGAGTGACACAGCTAGGTTGATCTACATTTTAAACGTAGACCAGGCCAACAAACATTTCTGTAAAAGTCATGTTCTTTATAAAGGGAAGAACACTATCTACAATAACAGGCTTTGTTTCGAAGTAATTAAGGGTTGAGCTACTTCTACATTAAGATGCACCTAATTCTTCTTTATCCAATGATGAATCAAAAGGTTACTCTGAATTTGTAAACGAAATATTTAGAGATATTCTACATTAGAGTCTCTTGTTTTTAAAATGGCATGGTCAATTTTTGCACCTTCCTTCATATTCAAGCTGTAGTGGTTTTTTTGCACAAGGGCCCTTTAATCTCAATCCTAAAGGAAAATTTGATCAATTTTGCTAATTGAAACAACAAATACTTCCTGCTAACCACAAATTCTCATTGCCAATCTGAAGTGAGATCAGTAAGTTTAAGTAATACATTTTACTTGCAGCAGAAGTCATGTGTCATGTGATTGTTTGAAAAACTACCAGCCTCGGTAACACACACACTGCTTGGGAAAGACTACACTAACTATAAGTATGTGTTTTTATTTGGTTTCTGATTGAATTTGGGATCATCTGCAAATACCTTCGTTCTAGTTTTTATTAAAAGTGAATTGCAGATCTAAATTTCACATTTCTTCACCTTCAATATGTGCTGCACGCTTAAATCAGCAGGCTCAGATGGGCCATTCAAAACAAGACTTAAAATTTCCTTCTCCATCAATCTTTTTACATGAATATCAAAATTATCGTAGTCAATTTCATCTCTCCTGATGCTCCAAAATGTGATCTGACCTACCACGCCGTTTTAAAATATAGGTATCTACATTCATGTTGTTTACTGCCATTTGCCACACCATCTTTTCAGATAACATAGGTGCTACAAGTCAGTGCTTGTATATGTTGTTTACCAATGATCCCAGTACACAACTCCTGTATTAAAGTGACTATAGATGCTGCCTCATTTATTATGAATGGTTTGCTTAGTAAGTGCACAGAGAGAACAGCAGTCCCTGCTCTCAGTAGTTTACCATCTGGTTACCAAGGAAACCCTGCTCAAGTATGGAGAAAGCCCATATGGGGTCAGGCAGATTCCTGTTTTTTCTACTTTTTTTTTTTTTTCCTTTCCCTCCCTCCCTCTCTCTCCTTTAAGAGCTAGGACTTTGTATTATGTATGGTGTATTTTCCGAAAGACTAAGACTTCAACACCCTTAGGGCTAACGTACTTCAGCAATGTTTCCTTGGTAACTGTTATGCCCCAGAATCATTTTGTGACATCACAGCAAAACTAAGCCAACCAAAGCAGGGTTTTTTTGGGGGGGGGGGGGATATTTTGTTTTGTGCTCAATGCTCCTCAAACTCATAAGCTGGGGGCAAGCAAGCTATAAAGGACAATCCATCCCCAAACTCATGTGCATAGATTTAACATAAGGGGTGATAGCAGATGACTGAGAAACTCATTCCCCCCCTTCCCGGCAACTGGCCCCAATTTCTGATCAGTACCTAATCTAGAGTAGGACAGACACTAAATTTGGTGTGACAGTTATTTATTATTTGTGTTGCAGTAGGACCCATAGGCCCCACTCAGGATCGAAATGACACCGTGCTATGTGCTGTACAGACACATATGAAGGTATTGTCCCTACCCTGAAACACTAAATCTTTCTTAGAATGTATTTTGTTTTTACAAGATTCACAGTAGCTAATAAGCATCAACTATGAGACAGGTATTAAACAACCTGAATCATGTTTCAGACAATAACTGATCTTTCTCTAAAAGCAGATACTATGACTATATTCATTCTATTCTATAGGGGCAAGTAGTCTATCCTCAAGTACTTGACCACCATACTTTGATACATCTATTTTTTCTGGTTTCACTCAACAGTTATTCACTTTTAAGAGTTATATTTCCACATAAATCTACTCTACCCTACTCTTCAGTTTCACTTTTTTAAAGTATATCATGAGTGCACAAAATAGAAGCTTCTAATCTCCTGGGATTAGTGATGGTAGTTCAAAGACAAGGTAAAAAAAGGTGGGTCTGCCAGCTCACTCTGAAGATGCAAGCAGGAGATGTAAAGACCAATAAAGTGTTCCCTTACAGATATTTTTCTAACCCTCAGTTCATGGAGCTAACACAAAATCCCACATTGAGATGACGAATTCTGACCAAGTAAAACGAGTAACAAAAACAAACTAAGAACAGTTAAAACCAGAGCTCAGCAAGACAGAGCTGTTCCACCTGCTGGACAAAAAATTAACTCATTTACTCAGCCAGAACTCGCTCTTATTTGTGAAAGCAGCACTCAGTATGCTTTCAAATTTTCTCTCTCCACCTACTTATGACAGGAGCCAATATCTATAGGATACAAGAATTGTTTGTTTTTATTTTGACATTTTCAAATTTTTGGCATCTACTTTATTGAGTTAGACAATAAATGTGATGGTGAGGAGGATTTTGTTAGGGCAAATTAACAGGATAACAAAATCATCAGTTGAAGATGTGTATATTAGCCCTAAACAAATCTTTTCCTCAAAAGAAAAATGTTTTCTTAACTATCTTATGTAACAAACTCTTCTCCAAAAAGTGTTTTGTTGAAGAATCAGATTTAGAGTCACAATTTAAACAAATCTTTTCCTGTTACAAAAACCTTAGGCCATTACAATAATTTTTAGTTTATTTACTTTTTGCATCTCTCTGCTTAGACAACAGAAGCGTACCAGTAAATTTCACTTTTGTTCATGGCCATTTATTGCCACAAGGTTTGGTTTGCAAATATTTCAGGAGAACATAACATTTAAAATGTCAGTGAAATATAAAATGATCACAGGCACACTTCTATTGTTAATTAGGTGGTTTTGTTAAAAGAAACTGTACAACACTTTCACAAGTTTGACCTGAGCATGTTCTTTGAGTAAATGTGATATAAAAAGAACAGGCTAAAGTCATCCCTTTCAGAGCTTCAATTATTTAATTCACCAGGAATAAGTTTGGTCTTGTGTATTTAAATAGTAGAAAGTAAGACTGCCTTTACAAAACAGGACCTCTTTTGACATGCTGCTTTCATTGCAAAAGTAGAACACTAACAGTTAGCCTGTAAATGGAGTTAATAGGAAAAAGGATGTACTTACAAAGCTAGGCTACTCAAAACATATTGTACGTGCTCACATTCAGCTGGGAATGATACACAGGCAGACGTGAAACAACAAAGAGCTGTCTGAAGCACCTGAAGCTGAGGCAAAGGAACCTGCCATCTTCCAGCATAGTCTTCAACAATCTATAGGGAAAACAGTCACAAACCTGTATTACAATAGAGAATGTTCTCTTTCGCCAGAAATAGTAAAAAAAAAAAAAAAAAAAAAAAAAAAAAAAAAAAAAAAAAAAAAAAATAAAAAAAAAAAAAAAAAAAAAAAAAAAAAAAAAAAAAAAAAAAAAAAAGGTCTATAGTTTATAAAGGGGGGAAAAAGCTTTTAAGTAGCAGGTTTAATAGAGGATATCAATATAAAACCACAATTCATTCCTCTAGGATGCAACACTAAGATGTTTCATATATGTAATTTTCTCATGTTCTTTCATTTTGATAAAGCAAAAATATAAAGGAAGAAGCCCTGTCCTTCTTACACCACAAAATATGGACCAAAAAGCAGTGGAGGAAGAATTCTTCTTACATGCTATCAGATTAGCAATTACACCTTTACCTCGATCTAACGCTGTCCTCGGGAGCCAAAATTTTTTACCGCGTTATATTGAACTTGCTTTGATCCACCGGAGTGCGCAGCCCCACCCGCCTGGAACACTGCTTTACCACGTTATATCCGAATTAGTGTTATATCGGGTGGCGTTATATCGAGGTAAAGGTGTATGCTCTACGCTTAAATACAAGCTTTTGTTTTGCAACAGAAGAAAAAGACATAGTCTGCAGCCATATTAACACCTACCACTTGAAATGTCACTAAGTGGGGAAAAAATGGGTTTGTGCCCCTTTTTGCTTTTTATGACAGAGGAAGGCTAAAGATACTCCTCAGAAAAAAAACGGTTGTTTTCTGATTGACATTCCTTATTCCTAAGGTCAAGAGTAAGTCTGTACCTTTTCCTTGAAAGGCACAAATACATGGAGAATTGGAAGTCTCACCGCTTCCAAGACGAGGGAATTTTAGATAAAGGGCTTTTCTTCCAAATGTACTGGACATTTCAGTTAACTGTTTACAAAAAAGACCAAACAGGATAAACTACATTTGTTCATTGGTTTAATGGTTAGAAAACCCTTTAAAAAGAAGTTCACATCTTGTGTGCAAACATTTTTTCTATGTATGTCACATTTAAACTTATTGACTACTCCAGTTTTGTAGGAGAAAAAGTACAATTAGAGAAAGGAAAACAAATTTAAGATAAGTACTTACAAAAAATATATATATATACTGATAGCACAATGTACTTTTCTGCAGAAATGACTCTTTCCTAACTATGAAGTACATACAGGTACAAATAAAGGGTTTGATAGGTAAATGTATTCATCATCATAAAACACCAAGTGCCCCTGAATATATAATGAACAGGTTAATGTGTTCTCATTGTCAATTTTTGTCAATAATGCTTTGGCAGAACATACAACAGGTTGACCTTACAAATGCAAAGAACTCAAGTGTATGTGCGCACACCATATACCCCTCCCTTGATAAAGTAGTTTAACACACCAGTTCAAAGCCTTGGGCAGTTAAAATATGAGGCCAAAATCATCCTTGGTTTAATTCCTCTGGATTAATAGAGTTATCCTGTTTTTATTAGTCTGATGTCTGCATGCAATATGTTTACAACTGTTAATGACTGAAGCCTAAGCAGTCCTGGCTTTTTATTTTTTTACACTATTAACATTTGTAAAACGCAGCCAGTCCAAACTAAACTCCAAACAATTAAAATTGAGACTGTGGTCATACTAGGAACACAAAATAAACTGTTGATGAATCTTATATATCACTAAAGCATTACAATGTTCTAAGTAGGCTTTAGAGAATTCAATTTTTATCAATGTAAATTTTCACACTTGTGGGAAATTATGGGGAGGTCAGACAATTACACCTCTACCTCGATATAACACTGTCCTTGGGAGCCAAAAAATCTTACTGCGTTATAGGTGAAACCGCGTTATATCGAACTTGCTTTGATCCGCCCCCCTGGAGCACTGCTTTACCGCGTTATATCCGAATTCGTGTTATATCGGGTCGCGTTATATCGGGGTAGAGGTGTATTTAATTAAAGCAGATATTGGGATTTAAAAAGGTAAAGCTTTATAACCATTAAAACACAAACTATCAACATCACAAATCAAAATATACAGAGTAAATATCCTTAAATAAAACTCTATTAAGTTCTTAAGTAGCATTTTTTTATTTTGCCTATTTGTAAATTTCTGTTATCACTGATGGAAATTTGTGTTTGTTATTTTGTGTGTGTATGATGAAACTGACATTTACTGACATTTAATTGATAAAAATCTAATCCTTACATGCCTAAAGTTATCAGAAACTGAACTACAATGATATACTACTGTATCTAAGACTATATGAAACACAAATTTAGAAATACATCGAAAATATTCCTTAACTGCTTAAACTTAGGATAGGTCATCACCACAATAAAGAATGTGAGATTAATATGAAGGTCATTTAATTCCCATCCAAGGCTGTGTCCATGCTACGGCTTTCAACGGTAATCCCCATATCAGGTAGGGGTCACATTAACCAGTTACCAACAACACTGTTCCATTTGTGTCCACACAGTACCATTTCTGCTACAACAGTTCATGCATTTACAACTACACCTCTACCTCGCTATAACGCTACCTGATATAACACGAATTCGGATATAACGCGGTAAAGCAGTGCTCGGGGGGTGGGGGGGGCGCTGCGCACTTCGGTGGATCAAAGCAAGTTCAATGTAACACGGTATCACCTATAATGCGATAAGGTTTTTTGGCTCCCGAGGACAGCGTTATATCGAGGTAGAGGTGTACCATAAATTGCCTATGTTCTTTTCAGGGCATCTGGGAAAATCTGAGCAATTAAATGAAGAAAAACAGAATGTTCAGAAAACATGTACATTTGGTGGCAGTGCATTCGGATGTCCTACCACCGTGTTCTCAGCTCTGTGAGGACCAACCAGACCAGCTACACAAACATGAATAGGGTATCCATTCTACGTTACAAAAAAAAAAAAAAAAAGCATGACCATTTACCACTAACAGTTCTAAATATGCTGTAAGCAAATATAAACCATGGTTAGAGCCAAGCCAAAAATGGTAGTGCAGAAAAAAGGGGATGATCTGGTGGCTAAGGTACAGGAATGGTTTATAAAATGCTGATTCAAGTATATGCTCTGACTCAGGTTGTGTCTACACTACCAATTTCAGCACTAAAACTTTAGTCCTTCAGGGGTGTGAAAAAACACACACCCCCGAGCAACAAAAGTTTTAGCACTGAAAAGCGCCAGTATAGACAGCTACCACCGCTCGTTCGGAGTGGGTTTTGTTTATTTTTATCGCCAGGAGAGCTCTCCCCCAGCGATAAAGCGTGTCTACACTGCCCACGTTACAGCGCTGCTCTGTGCCTCAATTCTCAACTTTAAAAAGGGAATATTACTTTTGTGTATCAAGTATGCAAAGAATAAGCTCCTTTATTTTCTGTGTGGTGCTCAGATGTTACAGTGAATCCTACCACATAAATAGCCAAGTAGTATGGATGAGGTCCAAAGCTGTGATGGGGTTCTTTTTCACCTCAGATTATAACACATTCAGAACAGATCTAGTCTAGAAGAAATTGTGTGCATTTCCTATTTTACTTAATTAGAATGGACTGGGTGATGGGATATGAAAATTTTCACTTGTACACCTCTGGATCAAATCAGTAGTTACCAAAATTCATTCAGACCGAGATGTTCAGTTACCTATGGGATATGAGTAGGTGGCATCGGTCCTGGTTGTAGCAGATATCTGTCTGCAACATGAACACATCAGGCACAATTGGAGCCTTTGGCAGATGATTGAAGGACTGAATAGTCATGGAAACTAAACTATGTTTTCAAATTAAGATTTAGTCATATACAGAACAGGACTGGGATTTAAGGATGGTGTGGAGAGGCTTTTTCTGTTTCTACTATATAAGCAAATGAAGATCTTCCATCTCTAGGATATTATACCAGTATGTTTATTTACACTATTATATTAACTTCCAAAAATGTCATTCATTTGCAGATAAACTGATCGTAGTATTACACTTGTTTATAGACTTTGACAGAACTGGCAGAGGAACATATGCATTTTTCATGCTGGATCAGAACAGTCATTTAGTTCAGCATCTGTTCCTTCAAAGGAAACCCCATAGTACCACCTTATGGGATAACATGCCTAGGGAAGGTTTTTTCCCTGACCTCCAATAGTTAAAAGTTTGCTTTATGCTCTGAAACATGAGTCACTGAATAGCTTTGAATACTTGGGGGTTTTATACTTATTAGATTAATTCTAGATATTTTTGTTATCCCTATAGATGTCTGCCCCTTTGCGAATCCTGCTAAGCTTTTGGGCTCAGCAACATCTTGTAGCACTGAGTTCCACATGCTATTATGTGTTTTATGAAAAAAGTGTTTTTATCCATTTTGAATTTGCTACCTTTCAATTTCATTCTAATTCACTTCATCTCCCCTCTATTTGAAAGAATATGTATGCATAAAAAAGCACGAGAGAAATGAAGTACATATGTCTAGTGCAGGGGTGGGCAAACTTTTTGGCCCGAGGGCCAGATCTGGGAATAGAAATTGTACGGCGGGCAATGAATCGTCACAAAATTGGGGTTGGGGTATGGGAGAGGGTGAGGGCTCTGGTTGGGCATGCGGGCTCCAGGGTGGAGCCAGAAATGAGGAGTTCAGGGTGCGGAAGGAGGCTCCGGGCTGGGGCGCTGGAGTGGAGTGCGGGCTCTAGAGTGGGGCTGGGGATGAAGGGTTTGGGGTGGAGGGTGCTCTGGGCTGGGGCCGAGGGGTTTGGAGGGCAGGAGGGGGGGGGGGGATCAGGGCTGGGACAGGGGGTTGGGGAGAGGCTCAGGGGTGCAGGCTCCGGGCGCCACTTACCTCAAGCGGCTCCCAGAAGCAGCGGCATGTCCCTTCTCCAGCTCCTTACGCGGAGGCGCAGACAGGCAACTCTGCACACTGCCCCATCTTCAGGCACTGCCCGCGCAGCTCCCATTGGCTGTGGTTCCTGGCTAATGGGAGCTGCAGGGGCGGCGCTTGGGG